CCTTTTCCCCAGACGAAATCCTCTCGTAATGGAAACACATACAGATCGCCCTAAATCTGCCGAAAAAATTTCTTTAAATATGGGGGGTCTTATTAATCAAGTGCTCGGATTAGGTCGCTTGGGAAATCAGAATTCGCACAGTGGTTGGTGGTAGAAGTGTACACGCAGAGCTGGGAAAGTGTTGCGATACTGATTGTGATTGCTGGTCTGCACCTGCCTGCAGAATCGGCTCTTTTAGGGCCGGAACCCTTCTAGTCAGGCTCGGCTCGGCTTCTGAGCCCCGAAAAGGGAGGCTCTCAGCTTCCGCTGCCGGCGCCACGAAACTCCCGAAGACGATGAAGGCCTCCACCCACGAGGCTTCGCGGCCCGTCGGATGCCTTGGCTCGTTCCGTCCTTGGCGGCTCTGCCAGGGCAACAAGGAAAGCGCTGATGCGAACACGCGTGCGCAGATGGTCCTGCCGGCACTGGAATTCACACATTGCCCGGGTAAACACTGTGATTTCCCATAGTGATATTATACGCTTGCACCTTGCATTTTTCGAGCCAGCTTACAGGTGTCTGTCCGGTTCAAGCTGTCCCGCCAGGTCACGAAGCTGCTCGAGTTGGCGAGGCCAGCGACGCAGAGCTGGCTCCGAGCACTTGCAGACCCACTCGGTGCGGAGAGGTCGGGTGATCTCGAGGCCTTCAAAGCCATCGCCGAGGCAGGAGACGAGCGTGCGAAGTGAGAGTTCCAAGGAGGGAAGAGCGTGGAAAGGGAGAGTTCAAAGAAGGGAGGCCAGAAAAGTTGAGGTGAGGAGTGGAGGGGAGTGGAGGGACCGCAAGCGATCCCTTCCTCCGAGGCTGGGGTCCTCGTGCCAGGCCCCGCCAGAGAGTTCGTAGTCTTTGCTCTTTCTGCTCTCTGCTTCTCTGAGAGCCGTCGTTTCGCAGCGGGTGCAGATCGCTCGAAGACGTTCATCAACTGCAGCGACATCCGGCGCCGCACGGCGTTGATGTACGCATCAGCCATCGGCAGCCGAGACGTTGCTGGGGCACCTGGCAAAGCCTCGCACAGCAAGATTGAGCTCTAGAAATCAGCCCTGGGGTAATCCGATAATTCACGAAGCTCCGCAAGGTCGAGTACCTCTTGAGCCAGGACGAGGCCTCAACGCCAGCATTCTGCACTGCATAGTCGGCAGCGCTTGACCGTGGAGGTGGACGTGAACGCCATGGATGATATGCTGAAAACTGCCCTCCACCACGCAGCTCTTCACTCGAAGGGGCGATGTCGACACAGAAGCCACAGTGAGCCACAGTGCACAGCTGCGTGGGTGATGGCTTGGGGCTCGCACAGGCGGAGATCTCGCGTTTGCTGCTGCGTGCCGGTGCCATGATCGACGCCCGGGACCACAACGGCTGCACGGCCTTATCCCAAGCAGAGCCCGAAAAGATGAAGATGCAGGGCCCAGACTCAAAAACTGCCCGTACGTCCCTTGAGTAAGGCATTGATGCTTGCCGCCGGAACTGGCGATGCAGCCGGGGTCCAGGCAGGACCTGTCGGTGTGGAACTGCAGGGCTGCGCTAAGAGCGGAGCTGCACAGATGATGGTCGGACGCAGAGCACCATCAAAAATACCGCGGCAGAGTCCGGAGATCTCGACTCTTCACACCCTTCAGTTCTGAATTCACTCGACCTGGAGCGCATGTTATCCTGTTGCATAAATATGAGTACATGCGAACTTGATTGTTCCCGAGCTGTCCTCCTTTGAAGCTGAAAACAGGGAGCACCCTCCCGGACCGGATTTTCTTCCGAACTTCCAATGCACGGTCGAAATCAGAGTCGTCGAAGACAGATGGCGGTTGTAAGCGCCTGGACGACCTTGTTGCAAGTTATTGGGCTTGTTCTCGCCCTGTTGGTGTCCATGTATGCATGCACTGCCTACATCCGGAAATCAACCTATTCAAAGCCCAAAGTTCCCCTATCAAGGAATATTCACCAGAACCAAAGCATCCATGCCTGAATGATGATTACGTCCATGTCACCAGCGCGCACGAACCAGAGCATCATTTGCCGGAATGATGATAACGTCCATGTCAGCAACGCGGGCGGAACCAGAGCAGGAATGCCGGAACGATGACTGTGTCCATGTCACCAGGCACGCTGAAGCACAACGTCCATGACCTTGAACAATGAGCATGTCACGATCGTGTACGGAACCAGAGCATTCATGCCCGAATGAGGATTGCGTTCATGTCGCCAAGAAATCGACAAGGACAGGGAAGAGAGGGAATGAGAGTGAAACTGGACATTCCTTCTGATCATCACGCAAATTTAAGGTTTCAGACCGGGAATCAAGAGGCAAAAACCAGAAACCTTCATCTGGCGGCGGGCTGGCAGATATGTTGCCGAATTGGGGAAGTGACGCAAAACAGTTCAATCGACTTTCGATGATATAGGCTCGCGAATCAGAGGCAACGCAGCTGCCAGAGTATGCCATTCGATTCCTGATGACAGTATCTTGTTCTCTCCTTTTAATTAACCCATTTCCAAGGGCTTGACCGTGACCCAGAAATGCTGGCTTTTGGCTGGTTTGGATCTGGCCAGGGTCATTGGCCAGAGCACCCATGAACAACTGAATGTGATCAAGAGCAACATCCGGTTCGTTCACAACAAGAATCGGTTCCTATCTTGGTGCGCCAACGGTGCAGGACAAGTCGTCCTCAAAGTCTGCCGATGTCAGGCCGGGGTTAAGAATGTTTGTGATTTGTTGTAGCAGCGGCCTCCTGGCTTTCTCTATAGAACAGCATAGGAAAGCTGCACCCAAAAGAACCAGTATTTGAAAATGGAAGAAGCGGATCTTTGTTTGCCTTTATGTGGTCAGCCAGTCGTAGCATGGAATGTCACGGTTGGCGTGATGCATGTGCTCAATTGAATAAGACACTTTCCCATCAGGAGGAACAAAGATGACTCTCGGAGTATGCTGGATGTGGATTCTATGCATAGGGATCGAAGGACACAGGTGCTTCTCACGGCATGCCGCAAACAGGACTTGAACAAATGGAAATGGATTGGGAAAGCTACTACGCTGAGACGCGGCTGGTGAGCAACGGAAAAAAGATTCTGCACTCAGGACTTGTAGTCGCAGTTCGTTTCCACACACATATGCACATACACATACCTATGTCTACGTTAAGAAAGGTGTGTACTATAACACGAAGGAATACGGTCTTGCGCCATCATACGTACACAGCTATTGCCTGGACTTGGCGATGCATGTTTGTGTGTGTGTGTGCTGGTAGAATATGTACACGACATGCGCGCAGATACTTACACGATCCCCAAACCCTAAACCCTGAACGCTGAACTCATGGGTTCCATTGAGCTTTCCGGTCGGGTATGCAGTGGGTTTATGGCAGTCCCGGCCGCAAAAGAGCCCTGAACCCACGGTTTAGGGTTTGGGGTTTGGGTCCCATCAAGCTATATTCCCGGCGACCAGGCGACAGAATCGGATCCATCCGAGGCCGTGTGCCCTTCGGTGGTGTCGTTTGTTTTTTTGGTTAATTTCGGCCTCAACCTCTTTTCAAGTTTGGGCTGCACGTTAGGACAGGAGGCTCAGTAAATCGGCAACCATCGATAGCCAACGTAGGGGCCTAGCAATACTATTTGGGGGGGTTCCTTATTATAAATATAGTAGACTCTTAAACCTCGCAACCCTAACTCCGCATGTATGGTCCCAATATGCTGTGCTCAAACCCCCGGAAGTGGACTTCAAGTTCCGAGATCTCACAACGCAGAATCCATGAAATCCAGCACACCGGAAGTTCCGTGACACTTCGTGTTTCCCCGTTCCAGGCGGAAGGCTTACCGGAAGACCCGAATAAATACAAAATGTACGAGGACCTTCATGACAGTTTCACAATATTCCACAAACCCTAAACCCTAAACACCCCTAAACCATAGGGGCCCGAGCATCCTTGTGCCACTGGTACTATAGAGGATCATTAGTAACTGCTTTTTGGTGCGCCTAAATTAAAGCTGTAATTCAATCGCCGCATATACCTAAGCTCCAAACCCGAAACCCTAACAGCCAGCGAGGATCCTCAACTCTAAAAGCCGTACGCCCGAAACCTAAACGCACAAAAAACCGGAACAACACTAAACCCTAAACCACAAAACCACCCCTAAACCCTAAACCCTAAACCCCAAACAGAAAAGCTCGAATGCAGGGGGCCCGCCAGAATTTGGCCAAGCTGGCCGAGTCTGCTCGCTGCAGTGCCCCCGGCGGGGGCTGGGATGAATCTCCTGCGGGCTTAGGGTTTACATAGGGTTTAAGGTTTCTGTAGGCTTTGGGGTTTCGGGTTTAGAAAGGGTGTAGGGTTAAGGGTTTGTGTAGGGCTTAGGGTTTACATTGTTCTGGAGTACCATACTGGAATACTTTTGTTTTTGGGACCTGCTCCTTAAGGGAGCCATTATGAAATTAAAGTCTATACTTTTCTCACCCTGGTTACTCCAAAGTCTAGCATAGGGTTTAGGGTTTCTGTAGGCTTTAGGATTCGGGTTTATAAAGAGTGTAGGGTTAAGGATTTGTATAGGGTTTAGGGTTTACATAGGCTTTGGGTTTATATAGGGCTTATATAGGGTTTGGGGTTTAAGTTTGTTTTTTTAGTGTTCTTAGGAACTATTTGTATTGTTGTTGGTTTACAATCATACACCAGGGGAGTATTGGAACCATTTCTTAGTTTGGCTCTAAGTGTGTTTCAGTCTTGAGTTCCTTTCAGGTTAGCACAGGGGATTACAACTTAGGGGTTGGGGTTTCGGGATTTGTTGTTTAGGGTTCAGGGTATAGTTTCTGGGGCTTTGGGTTTAGGGTTTAGGGCTTGAGCTTGTCCAGGGGGAGTCCCAGTGCGTCTTTTGGTTGATGAGGGCCTGTGGTTCTCTGGAGCTCTAAAGATGAAATCAGCCGGGTTTAGGCTTTGAGGGTGGTCGCGGCGCATCGTCAGGAAGACGTCCGCTCAGAAATCCAAGCCGCAGCCGCCGCAGTCCGATGAGGACAAGGACACAGAACTGCCACGTGCAGTCAAGGCTGAGCAGCCTGCCAGCTCAGCTGAGCCTTGCAAGCCTGAGGAGGGAGTGGCTTCCACCCCTCAGGAGGGAGCCACCTCCTCGGGCTCCCTCACAGCCCCGGCGCCCGTCAACATTTCAGTGCTCGTCTTCACGTAGCTTGCTCCGCCTGCCCTTGTTAAACCCTGAACCCTAAACCCTGAACCCTAAACCCAAAGCCCTGAACCCTAAACCCTGAACCCTAAACCCTAAACCCAATACCCTGAACCCTGAACCCTGAACCCTAAACCCACCCTAA